CTCTTTGGCCCCTCCCCTTTCGCCGGCTGGATACGCCCCTGAATTGAAGTGATGGCAATCTTCTCTAACTGAGTCTTAGAACCATACATTACAAATTCGCATTTGACGAGATTTAATTTTAATGATATTAAAGATAATAATAATACTAATTATAATATTGATAATAATAATAATAATAACACTAATAATAATGATAGTAACAATACTACTAATGTTATAATAACAATGATAAGATAATAATGATAAATGTAATAATTATGATTATAATGATTATAAAATAATATTTAACAATAACAAATATATTTGTATTACTATAAATTATAATAATAATGATAACATTAATAATAATAATAATAACAATGATTATAATAAATATAATAAGAGTAATACAATTGGTAATAATAATCATAACAATAGTAGTAATCATTATAAATGCGCTGCTGCATGTTATTCCCAAGCGTTATTGTAGGTGGTTTAAGGAGACATGCAATCACAAATGATACCAAAAAAATGTTACAGTTCATTTTAATAGCTGACTTTGGCGACCACAACTCTGCGACCAATAAAGGTCCCATACTATTGCGCGTAACAGGATTGAATGGTGTCTTTGAAGACAGTTCGCACGACGCACGTCTATGACGTAGGTAATAATGCATATTCATATATCCACTAAACTTGGTGCAGACGCCCAACAGAACTGAAACAACATGTATAACAAAAAAGGTCGGGATAATGTGGATGTTGTTTCATTTCTTCCTCATAAATACTTTGATCTACTCATCGACCTACTTATAATCATAATTATATTACTAAAATTTGACAAAGACTGGGTTAGTGCTGGACATTATATCTTGCTTAAGAGTCATTACTATCTATTAGTGTAATATTTTCAATTTCAATAATTTGGAAAAGAGAAATTCATATATTTTAGGCATTTTCAATAACAATGCGGATATTTTGGTTTATCTTTTAAAGATTTGCTCATAAAATGAAAGGCGGGTATTTTTTTTATTTTAGCTTCATGTATAAAAGTTACCTGCAACAAATTCAATAAATCATGCACGTGATGAGAGCAGGGGGTCGCGTTCAATCCATCCTGAGACACACGTCAACATTTTATTTTCTTAGATTATTACATGAAATAAAAGGCCTTATAGTGCTCCCTTCAACTGATGTTTGTCATGTCTTGAAACAAACCTTCATTTAATTTGTATTTGAAAAGAAAGTTAATTTCTGTGACCATTACGAAAAAGTCACCTCCGCGCAACGCATGGTCGGAGCAGTTGTCTTAGAACAATCTTTCATTGAATTTCGATATATTTGGACAGAGGTCATTACAGAATGATGAAGTGTTTGTTTAGTAGTGTGGTCTCACAGTGGCGTAGCATGGATCGAGCAATTGTGAGGTCACTGGTGTCGTGGGGGATACTGCGCACAATAGATGGTTGAAAGCAGCGTCTTCAATTAAGGGGCAGATGTGGAAGGAAGAAGAACGTATTTGTGTATTGTCTCCTTCTCTCTCCCTCCTTCTGCCCTCCCCCTTCTCCCTCCCCCCCCCCCTCTCTCTCTCTTTCTCTCTCTGGGTCTCTTTCTTTCTCCATCTCTTTCTCGTTCTCTTTATATATTTACCCCAAAAACTATCTTCTTTTTCCTTCTTCTTAATCCTCTTCTGTTGTCGGGGGGGGGGGGGGGGGGGTGGGGGGTAAGAGGACACTTTTTTTTTTTTTTTTTGGTCTCGAAATTTAGAAATTTGACATTTTGCTCCGTTGGGGGAGGGGTAAGGTCATCTTATTTAGGTCAGCCGTGGCAATATATTTTTTTTTATTTTTTTTTATTACTTAAAAAAAAAACAACAACAACATTGGAACCAAAGGGGGGTGTTTAAGGTTTTTTTTAGGGGGGTTTACACACATAAAAATACCAAAGGGGGTGTTTAACCCCCCCCCCCCCCCCCAAACACCCCCCTGCGTACGCGCCTGCCCGTGACCCATACGCTACGCCATTGCCCACCGGTTGCTCATCTTCGCCCCGCATGTTGTTGACCTTACACTTACACGTAAATGATGATCATGGAAATAATTTGTTAAAGCACTCAAATTAGTGACAGGTACACCAACACAAGACATGTAAGCTTTCGTTGATTAGATCGAGATTGTATCATCAAATCGTGGAAGTTATTGGAAGCAGGTTTTTTAATTTCATATTAAAGAAGATCCCCCTTCCCTCCCCATTCGCTCTCTTTCTCTCTCTCTCTCTCTCTCTATATATATACATATTTCCTTCTCTCTCACTCTCTTCCCTGTTTGTTTACAATCTTCTCTAATTCTCCTCTTCTACCGTTTTGAACCTTCCGCACTCATCGTCTTTACCTATCTTCGATAACAGAATATCATAAACAGAGTATCCATCCTCTATTTCTCCCTCTCCCTCTCTCAATTTAAATCATTTCAAATTACGGGATTTTTGTATTTAATTTAGAAACGGCTCAGGTTGTTTAGACTCATTTAAATCAACACAAAATATCTTCTTTGCCCTGGTTCCCATTTTTATTTATTTACAAAATTAAAAAATGAAATGCTTTATCAGAAATCTACTATGAATTTCATGAGTTACCGTTTGCACATATATACACAGATATGAAAAACTTGAAATGATGATGAAAAGCACTGCGACATGAGTATCGGAGATGATGATTAAAAAGTAAAATAGATACACACAGATTTATTTTTAAATGTTTACAATGTAACAAAGGAAGTCTGAAAGTAATTAGTCTGATTAAAACTATTTAGTGGATTATGTCGAAGTCACTCAATCATTAATTTATATAATTATATTTACACTATTGAGGGCATTAAGTAGGCCTTTTAATTAATCAATTCCAATAACGTATTCAACCGCATGAAGTCATTTAAAAACAAATTTCAATTATAGACGTATAAATACTGTTTCCTCCCAAAATAAGTGATAAAAAACACCTTTTCTTTGGCGACCTATACCTATGTAATACTACTTTATATAGATATTTGTTTAAGTAACGTTAACATGATTTCCTTTACTATCCATTTCTATTCTGTAAGTATAATTGTAATGATTTAATTAATCAATAACATTGATGCCATCCTTCAAATATATTGGTATACCTTTTCAAGTAAACATCAAAGCAATACATACAAATTCAAATAGATTCAAGTTTGTTTTTTGTCTCTTTGCCTTTGAAATTATTAAGTCTCTTTCGTGAACGGAATTCGATATGAGGTCGAACAATGGTAGTAGAGAGATAATCAAGTTTCTTGGAATGTACTTCGTAAGAAAGTTTCTTTCAAAAGAGTTAATCACAAGATGATTTATCTTTGAGTGGTCCTAACATCTTGAATATTAGGGAGTTGAAGTTCCATCAGTGAAAAGCTGCTGCTTTATTTCAAGATTTTGGAAAAGTCAGTAAAAAAATACGTGTTTTTGTTTCCTTCTTTCAATCAGCAATCATGTTTTGCTATTGTAGCACCGACATGTCTCGGATTGGGGGAAGATCATTAATTAAACTAGCTCGGCGGAATTTTGTATTTTATTCCCCCACCTGTCGGCCTACAGAAACAAGTAATCAGACAATTTCATCACACACATTCATACTCAATCTACAAGAAACTAATCTATCCTGAATTAAACTAGAAAACTAGGCACTATAAAGGAAATGTATAGGTTCCTTTATTACTAGCTACTGCAAAACATATTTACATTTTCTTTACAAAGATGCAACTCCTGGTTACATACTGAAACCTAATTAGGAAACAAATTGTTCCAAACTCAACACGTAGTAGAGTAAAACTAAACCTTAACATCATGACAGTACTTTGAGAGAAAGAAATACTATCTGTATGGCTTCAAACATAACTAAACTGACAGAGTACAGAGGTTCTCATTGACGGAACTGTCATGGGTCGACGATTGCCTGAAAAGGCAGGACAAACAGAAGTTATTGAAGACGGATGTTTTAAAGATGCTTCCTCTCCCTCTTCAAAAAAGTGAAAGAGGGTTTAATCTATAAAATACAGTTTAGCTACTTAATGAACCGGGGGTCTCAGTCATGTAGAAATACTTGAAGCATGCGTGACCAGAGGTTTTCCGGGCACCCCCTAAGCGAGGATTTCTTATGAAGCCAAAATACATCCTTAAAATAAGGATTTCGCGTGGGTTTTTCCCGAATTCAAACCCTAAACGGGTATTTCAAAAAGTGTGCGCCAAAACATGTATCGTAAAATTGAAACCCCTATAAATTATGGTTTGAATAGCTGTACATGCAGTAGTGGTATAGGAGATAATTTGTTGTAACTTTGTGGCCAGACGAATTGTTTGCATTAGCGGATAGTATTGTGAGTGAGGCATGGTCATTACGCAGAAACAACTAGTATAATAACCTGGGGGTAATGACCGGTATGCCAGTGGTCCAATCTTTTAACCTATAGGGGATGCTTTTGTGGAATTTTCCAATTCGATTGCCCAATAGGGATAGAACGTTTCTTAGGTTAGGGTATACACTGTACAATGTATGTGGCACCAAAGAGGGGCTACACTATCACGTGCCAGTCAGCACTGGGGGTTGAATAACGTTGTTCAATTTTCATTGAGTGATATCTCCAGAATTATGGCATTATGCAAGGAAAGAATGAAGGGAAACAAACATAGCAAAGGTACTTTTTAAGAGTTATTAAAATTATTCGCAATTTTACAAATATTTCATTAAAAAAACATACATGCGCGCTGTATATACAGAAGCTCAATCCAACATTTTTTGCGAACAATTCAAAGAAGCGTTGACAACTGGTCATACCAGCAGTCCCTGTAAGGAGAGTCCCGAATAGGCCAATCAAACTGGTTTGCTGCATCTCTGCTGTTTTTATGTTTCACTAATCTATTCAAACACAAAATGCACGAATCATGTCTTACACAATGGATCACACAATGCAAGAATGAGAAAAAATACATTTACTTCTGAGGAACGCCCCATTACATGAAATTAAAAGAAATTAAAGTTGACTTCCTGCCCGGTCACTTTGTTGTCGCGAACAATCGCAGAGTCTGATGCATTTACAGTCGCGCTGCCACCATCGTTGACATCACTCGGGGGGTGTGTAGAATTACTCTCTATAAAATAAAATAATAAATAAAAAATGAATGCGACTATTTAGAGTTTGTTGATGCACTTAGCTAGATATGTTAATATAACTGTTAATTTTTTTTTCTCTCGAGGAGCATAGCTTTCCAAACAAGATCATTCTATTTCAGGAAAGTAACCTCTGGCCATATTAAGGAATGAAGGAATATTTAACAGTAAATAATTTAATGAAGGAAGTTTGATATACATGTATTTTCAAAAAGATGACCGAGGAAAACAAATAAATCAAACGAGAAAAAAAAACAAGATAAAATTAAGATATGATAGTAGCTGAAATTAAAACATGATAAAATAATATCCTCGAATCTGTACACATCGATGGTACGCCCAGCCTAATTTTCTCCACCGGGCTTAGAAACTGGGGGATGATGTTATCCTCAGCTTGCAGTAGATAGGGGGAGATCGCGGTGCGTTGGTGGAGATTGTTGAATTTAAATCGGATAGATTTTGGACTAGGCGAAATGTTCAAGATAAGGAAAATGTTGGATGGAAACAAATTGCGTGTTTTCTATTTCAGCACTGTACTTACTGCGAATTTTATTATTTAGGGCGTTCTTTTCTTCTGGTGCCTTCCTCTTTTTTGCTTGTTCCTTCGGTGCACTAATCCCCTTTCCACTCCTTACATTTTCCCGGAATTGAGTCGAGTCTTTCAATATGGATGCACCTAATACAAAAGTAAATGGTAAATGAAAGAGTCAAAGATGTGAGAGGAGATATTCAATTTCAATGTCACATTCAAAACGCATTTCACTAAATCCTGTATATAAATATTATCTTTTGTAAGTTAGGAAATTTTAGCATGCTGATCTTTGCAAACTTGGAACAAAATCTTAGGTCTATCAAGACAAGTGAAAAATAGCGAAGAAAAGAGAATGATTCTAGGAATGATATCTCAAACGATTAGTAGTAACAATGGTAACCAGCTTTTCAAATCATGTACAAAAGAAAATATCCTATGACTCTACTTTTAACCCACCTGGTTTGGGATCTCCCTGGGGCACCTTCTTAATAGCTGATGTCGGTTTGGTCTCCGTGGTCTTAGTACCTTCCTGTGGCAGCATCTTCGCTGGTGCACTTTTAGTTTTAGGTATCTTGGGTATCTTGTATGCTTTCCGTTGGTGAAGATAAGGAATATGTTGGGAGTAAACAAATTGCGTGTTCTCTATTTCGGCACTGTACTTACTATGAATGTTATTAATTGGGGGCGTTAATTTCTTCTGGTGCTTCCTTTTTTTTTAATTGTTACTTTGGTGCACTAATTCACTTTCCACTACTCACATTTTCCCAGAAGGAAGTCGAGTCTTTCAATATGGATGCACCTAATTCCAAAGTAAATGGTAAATGATAGAGTCAAAGATGTGAGAAGATACGTTCAATTTTAATGTCACATTCAAAAGGCATTTCACTGAACCCTACATTCAAATATTATCTTTTGTAAATTATACAATTATACCAATTAGATCTGTGCAATCTGGGAGAAAGAAAATCTTAAGTCGACCAAGGCTAGTGAAAAAGAGCGAAGTTCGCTCTTTTTCACTAGTCTTGATAGATTGCAAAGATCAGAATGGTATAATTGTATAATTTACAAAAGATAATATTTGAATGTAGGGTTCAGTGAAATGCCTATTGAATGTGACATTAAACCTGAATGTCTCTTCTCACATCCTTGACTCTATCATTTACCATTTACTTTGGAATTAGGTGCATCCATATTGAAAGACTCGACGTCCACCTGGGAAAGGAGATCGTTTATCTAGGAATGATATCTCAAACGATTAGTAGTAACCATGGTAACCAGTTTATTCAAATCATGTAAAAGAATAAATATCATATGACTCTACTTTTAACCCACCTGGTTTGGGATCTCCCTGGGGCACCTTCTTAATAGCTGATGTCGGTTTGGTCTCCATAGTCTTAGTACCTTCCTGTGGCAGCATCTTCGCTGGTTTAGTTTGAGGTATTTTAGGTATCTTGTATACAGTAGCTGTGGATGTCACGGGTTTGCTCTCGTCCTTATCACCGGAGATCTTGCTTAACACTGCCTTCTTTTGGATTGATCCTTTTTCAAGTGCTGAATGACAGAAATTTCAAATGATAATAAAGATTGTAATTTTAATAACAGTAATAAAAATAGTAGAAAACTTCAACAATAATTACAATAATGATGCTAGTTTTAATTATAATATTAATCATGTAAACAGTAATAATAGTGATAATAATGGTAATGATAATAATGATAATATTTCTAATAAAGTAACAATAGTAATAATAATAATAATAACCATCATCATCATCATCATCATCATCATCATCACCATCATGTAAACAATATAAACAGACAAATGAAACGCTTTTGAATAGTTTATTTATAGGTTATTTATCCTAACCAACCCACCCTCGAGCATAGAATATCATGTCATGGAATGAACGATGGCATAATACTGCAAAGAATATAAATCGGTTTCGTTGGTCAAAATTTAACCAGGCATCATGCTAGCCAAGGGCAAGTTCACTAAGTAGACCCCTCCATAAATATGCAGTGCAAGAGAAAGAGGATGTTTCTGAATATCTCACGACTCTACTGTTTTTTGACCCACCTGGTTTGGGATCAACCTGGGGCACCTTCTTAGCTGATTTCGGTTTGGTCTTCATGGTCGTGATATCTCTCTGTGCCCGCTTCTTCGCTGGTGTTCGTTTAGTCTCAGGTTTCTTTACTGCTACTGCAGTGGATAATGATAATGATAGTAGCGATCATAACAACAATGACAATAATAATGATAATAATGATATGAGTTAATGATGAGATATTAATGAAACTAATAATATTGATAATAATATTAATAACAATAATACATTAACTATAACGGTTATAGTATAATAAATATATTATATTGATAACATTAATATATAATGATATTAACGACAACAGCAATCCTAACATTGGGCTAAAAATAATATTTAAAGTTTTAAAAAAAATGATGATGATAATATTAATAATGATAATAACAATAATGGTAATTCATAAATGATAAGGGCAAAATTAAAAACCATTATAATAATCATAACAATAATAGTCAATGATATTAACAAAAACAGTAATATTAAGAACAAAAACAAAAATTAGAGTATATAATAATGATACTAGTCATAATTATAATAGTTATAATAATAACGATAATAATGGTAACGATAACGATGATGATAATAATACAAGTATCAATAGTAATAATAATTATTATTATCATCATCATCACATAAACAACAAAATCAAACAAATGAAACGCTTTTGTATAGTTCATGTATAGCTCAAAGGTAAAGACCAGTATTGGAAACGCCCTAATTTCAAAAAATGAAATGGAATCTCTCATTACCAATCATGTGAAAGAATATGTTTTTACTAATACATGATGATAAAAAATTTGCCGGGAAACCGCCTACTAATTCATATATTTGGTAAATTTGTTTCTCTCATGGTCTGGTGAGAGATATAGGGTAGTCCCATATACATCTTTCTGTGTATAGTGCTTGTAACTTTACGAAGAATGGGCCAAATTTCTTATCATTTTGATGATTCCAGAACCTTGCAGATGCTAGATGCTAGATGATCAACCTTTTCTGATCGATTCCACAACGTTTCTTTCACAATGCAATCGCATGACCATTACTGGTCTTTACCTTATTCTTAGCTAGCCCACCCTCGGGCATAAAATAGCATGTCGCAAAATGAATGATGGCATAATACTGCCAGGAATATATTTCGGGTTCATTGGTTAAAATTCAACCAAGCATCATTGCTAGCCTAAGGAAAGTTCACGGAGTAGATCTCTACATATATATATTAAGTGCAATGGAAAGGGGATGTTTCTGAATACCTTATGACTCTACGTTTAACCCACCTGGTTTGGGACCATCACGGGGCACCTTCTTAGCTGATATCGGTTTGGTCTCCATGGTCTTGGTACCTTTCTGTGCCGTCTTCTTCGCTGGTGTTTTTTTATTCTTAGCCTCCTTTTCTGCCACTGCAGTCGATGTCCCGGCTTTGCCCTCTTTCCCATCACCGGAGACCTTCCTTAACTTTGCTTTAATTTTTGCTGATTCTTTTTCAAGTACTGAATGGCAGAAAAAAGATAATAATTATGAAGATGGTGATTGAAGTGAAATATCAATAATAATAGTAGTAGTAATAATTGTAATAATGATAACATTAACTAGAAATATCGCGATCTGTATTGCCGCGCAATGCGAATGCATCCCCCGTCAGTAACAGTGATTTTTTGTTGTCATCCTTATGTTCGAAGGTGGGACAAAGAACACCTCTCCCCTCCCTGAAACAAAAGGATGACGTAGAAATCACCACTAGGGACTCAAACTATTGTCAAGACTAGGAGCAGCATCTTAAAAACAATATGTGTGTAAGTTAGAGTATAATGCATCTCTATAGAAAATTTGAAAGAAATCCGTCGAGAAATGTGGCAGTTAGAGCGCACAAAAGACAGCCACCGAAATGTGACCTTTGACCCTATAACAGACGGAGCACAGGTGGCAACATCACCAAAAAACTATGTAGATTAAACCAAAATAAACCTTTGTTCAAAATTTGAAAAAAGTCTCTTGATAAATGTGGCCTTATACCGTGTGAGCAAAAAAAAGGTTTACACCTAGAAAAATTGCTAATTATTTAATAACACTAAAGATGTGTAGATATTACTAATACACACCTCCATACATAATTTGTCAAGAAGTGTGGCAGTTAGAGTGCTTTAAACACATATGACCTTTGACCCTATAAAGGACGAAAAAAATGAGGGCAACATTGCCCAAAAGTGTTGATGTGTAGATTGTACCAAGATACATCTTCATACAAAATATGAAAGAAATCCGTCTCGAATTATAACCTGCAGAGCGCACACTAGAAACCCACCAAAATATGACCTTTGACCCTATAACAGACGAACACAGGTTCGTTGGTAGCATCATCATCAAACACTAATAATTTGTCGATTTGACTTAGATACACCTCCATACAAAATTTGAAATAAATCCGTCAAGAAATGTGGCAGTAAGAGTGCACAAAAGGGTCAAATGACCTCTGACCCTATAAAGGATGGAACCATGAGGGCAGCATCACCAAAAAGTAAAGATGTGTAGATTCTTTCAAGATACATCTCTATACAAAATTTGAAAGAAATTCATCAAAAAATGTGGTTTGCAAAGTGCACTCATGCCTTCCTGCTAAATATGACCTTTGACTCTATCAATCATTGGACACTGGTGGCAGCATCACCAAAAAGATTATACTAAGATAAACCTTTGTTCAAAATTTGAAAAAAATCCCTTGAGGAATGTCGCCAACACCGTGTGAGTCAAAAAAAAAGTTTACACCTAAAAAATTGCTAATTTAAAAAAAAAATCATATATGAACAGTACATTATTATACATCTTATGAAAGCGCGTCTCATCCCGAATCATTTGGTATCATTTTTAGTGCAAAAATCGACTTGCGCCAAAGTGATGCCTACAGTATGTAATATGTTGGGATTAAAGTGAGAGAATGCATTGAAAGTAACAAATGAGATGCATTGCATATGCGTTTTGTAGAAGCAAAGTCACACACACACACGCACACACACGCACGAATGTTCGTTGATATTTGATATGTGTGGCATTATTAATTTTGTTAGGGATTTTATTTGGATCTGCAATGACCGAATTGATACCCAAATCCCAATCGTTTTATTCAAACATCACATAAGCAACTTTGGCGCAAGTCGATTTTTGCAAGCGTGACCAAATACCACACAAAAATGATACTAAAAGATTCGGGATAAAATACCCTTTCATAAGATGTATAATGATTTACTGTTCCTAGATGATTTATAAAACAATTAGCAATTTTCTAGGTGTAAACTTTTTTTGGACTCGCACTGTAGAGCTCACACAAACCATGCACACAAATATGGCCCTTTACCCTATAGAAAACGGAAAATTGGGGGCAGCATCACCAAAATATAGAGGCGTGTAGGTTATACCAAGATACACCTCTATACAACATTCGAAAGATATCTGTCAAGAAATAATGTAGTAAGACCGCACAATAGAGTGCACACAAGACATCTATCAAAATATGATCTATCTTTGACCCTATAAAAGACGGGCAGCATCACCAAAATCTATAGACTTGTAGATTATATCAAGATACACCTTCGTTCAAAATTCGAAAAAAATTATATACCACCTTTATGACAAACAGTGTATATCATATATTCTGTTGTGCATGGACCTAGTTACTGATATACAGTGCGTCCCAGAAAAAACGAAACCGAGAAGTATCGATGTTCTATCATAACTTAATCACAACTATAATTAATGAATGATACATATTTGGAAAGATTAGAGTCTCCTCTTTCATGTGATGCTACTCAGATAATGCATATTTCACGCATGAGTGATTAAAAGCAATTTGAAGGAAGGAAATCAAAAAGATATTTGGCGGGCGGTATCTGAATTTCGAAGAAAAATTCACATTTCTAGAAAGTTGAGTTTATGCCCTTTCATATGACACCTCAATCAGGAAAAATGAGCGAGGAATGACAAAGTTCTGTTTGTTTAAAGTAGTGCTTGCATATCCATAATTTTATTAAACGAATTCGTTTTCACTGGCTGCCTGCCGTATCAATAAACGAAATTAACAAAAGACTTAACTCCGTTTCGTTGACAATCAGCCATAGACGAGAGTCTTCATGCATGGCTGATTGTCAACGAAACGGAGTTAAGTCTTTTGTCAAATCTGCTTTTTGCTACGGCAGGCACCCAGTGAAAACGAATTCGTTTGTTAAAATTATGAAAATGTGGGGGCTGCTTTAAACAAACAGAACTTTGTTATTCCTTGCTCATTTTTCTTGATTGAGGTATCATATGAAAGAGCAGAAATTGAACTTTCTAGAAATATGATTTTTTTTTTTTTTAATTCAGATACCGCCCGCCAAATTACTTTTTGGTTTCCTTCCTTCAAATTGCTTTTAATCACTCATGCGTGAAATATGCATTATCTGAGTAGCATCACATGAAAGAGGAGACTCTAATCTTTCCAAATATGTATCATTCATTAATTATAGTTGTGATAAAGTTATGATAGAACATCGATACTTCTCGGTTTCGTTTTTTCTGGGACGCACTGTATATGTTACATGGATGAGTGTGAATACAACAGACATTGCCAAATAATATCAAAAGTTTGTAGTCTTGATTTTGATGTATGCCAGCAAAATCGAGTTTGCTTATGTTTTAATCTAAGTATTTATTTCACTGTTAAAACACAAACTTTTTGTTTAAACAAAGGTCTGTTGTACATATTGATATGATAATGAAAATAATCAGACGGAGACGTATTTAGTAAGTGTTTTAATTAAAAAATATAGAGACATCTATAATTTATGAAGCAAATTGACAGACATTATCACCATGAATATGCACATATTATACTTGAATTCTTGCCATCCTGCTATCGTTCTTATAATTATGTAGGCCTATATGTTTTTATGTAGTAGTTGTTATTGTGACAAATGGATGAGAGTGATGACTTTGACGTTACCGGTTAATTCTTTTGAAGTTCTTTTTTTATTCAACATTCCAGTTGAGTGTCGTAAGCAGAGGCGGCGCTCCGGGGGGGGGGGGGGGGTCACAGTGCCCTCCCACTTTTTCCAAGTACCCCAAAAGTGCCCTTGTTTTACATTAGAAAAGGGCCTCTTTAACTTTGTAAGACGTGCCCCTTTTTACATAGAAAAAGTGCCCCTTTTATTAAACAAGTGCCCCTATTAATTTTTAAAGTGCCCCTTCCCCTTTCCAACTCTGATAATTCCCCCTTTTCTTGACATGTACCCATTTTCCTTCGACAAGTTCCCATTCTCCTTTGCAATAAGTGTCCATTCTTCATTCTCATACGTGCCCTCTTTAATCTCTAGTAAGTGCCCCTTTTCAGGTACGAGAAGCGCCCCTTTTCTCTTTTGATAAGCGCCCCTTCACCTTTGGTAATTGCCCTATTCACATACGAGAGGTGCCCCTTTTGCCTTGACAAGTGCCCCTTGTCCTTCGTAGAAGTGCCCCTACCCCTTTTAATAACTACCCCTTTTTAACTCGGATAAGCGCATCTTATATTTTCCTAAGATTGTGCCCCCTTTCCTTTCTAATAAGTGCCCCTTTTCCGTATGATAAGTGCCCCCATTTAAACAAAAGGCCCTTCCCCTTCTCATAAATGCGCCTTTTCATTTTATTAAGTGCCCCTTTCACCTTTTGTAAATGACCCTATTAAATTCTGAGAGATACTCGTTTTACTTTGACAAGTGCCCCTTCCCCTCCTGATAAGCGCTCTTTTCATCTCTAATAAATGCCCCTTTCATTTAGACACGTCCCATTTTCCTTAATAATGAATGCTCTTTTCCGTTCTTATAAGTGCCCCTTCCCCTTCTCATAAAAGCCCCCTTTCACCTCCGATAAATGCCACTATTAAAATCTGATCGGTGCCCCCTTTCTTTCAACAAATGCACATTTCCCTTTATTATCAGTGCCCCTTTTTCATTCACATAAGTGCTTCTTTTCATATATGGTCAGTGCTCCTTTTCACCTCTGATAATTAGTATTTAAACAATTATACGTACCCCTTTTCCTTTCTAATAAGGAACCTATCCCTTTTTCACAAATCACCTATCACAAATGCCCCTTTTCACTTCTTATAAATGTCCCTATCAAACTCTGATGGGTGCCCTTTTTCGCCGACAAATGCCCATTTCCCATTCTCATAAGTGCCTTTTTCATCCCTGTTGAGTGCCTCTTTTTCTTTAGGTCTAAGAAGTGATCCATGTTCACCACTGATAATAAGCCTTTGAACTTTGACACGTGTTCCTTTTCTTTTTTACTAAGTGTCTTATCCCTTTCGATAAGTGTCCCCTTTTCCTCTCATCATTAAACGTACCCCTAATTTCAAGCGATTAAGAGCAATTTCCCCAAAGCTCGCTCGCTACGCTCGCTCGCATTTATAGATGTTATAATTATATAACTAATCAAAGGTCTTTTCAGTCTTCCGTCATGACAATGAGCTTATAACCCCATCAGGATTGGGTGTTTCCTCTTTATAAGACGTATTTTTGGGCACTGCGACCTCACAACTCTTTGAATTTTTCCTCGCTCGCTTTGCTCGCTCACAAATGAATTTTCAGACCATCACACCCAACTGCAAAGTATGATGCTTAAGCAATATTTTATATGATGTAAAAGAGAAATCATCCCTGATAATTTAATCACAATATAGGGGTATACAAATGTCTAAAAAATTGTATATTTTCAATTTGAGATTTCCCTTTGAATGTGCCCTTTTTCCACAGAAAGTGCCCTTTTTTGTTGGTGCCCTCCCACTTTGAAAGTCGCTCCGCCGCCTCTGGTCGTAAGTGATACAAATCAATCCGGGGTCTGTTTTATCATAAACAAAAAAAATTACTGTTTGTACGCCAGTAGAGAGAATGTTGTATGTGTAGATATGATCTACAAACCAAACTGAAACTTAATGAACAATGTGGTTTCAGTCTTTTTTTTAATTTCCTCACAAGGAGAACTACTTTTGAAACTTCCCCCAGCTCAGTACATACTCACACAAGAATTGCATTCTTTCATACAACACCTCCGCATTACCTTTTGATTCATTGCGATGCTACAAGGAACGTCTGACATAGCAACTCCTATGTTGATATTGTATGGTCTATTGTAAACTGGTGGTCAACTCTTGCGAAGCTTTTATACCACTGTCTCTTGTTAGCTGACTAATGATTGACAGATGATGTGACAAGATATATGAGATCTGGAGCATTTTTAGGGTGGAGCTTAATTAGCAGGTCTGAGAAAAAAAATTATATAAATATTCAAAAATATATGAAATATATTTAGATGTTTGAATAACAAAATATGAGTTGTATACAGCCCTGCACATCAACATAAATCAACTTATAATTGGATTTCATCGCGTCTTAATTCAAACGATATTTTCATTTGAAAGGCTGACAATTGTTTTTATTGCAGTTCATATGATTAAGTGTATATATATATATATATATATATACACTTGTACAATTACAGGCAGTGACTTGGTGGGATTAAGGCATTATTCCTCAAGTTTCTTTGGGGATCAGGGGCATTGCTCGACCATTCAAAAATAAGAAATTATTGGATGTCCACAAAAAGGCTGTAAGGGCCTAATTCTTGCAGGAGACCAATGAAGTACTTAAAAGCATTTCACACACGGATACTCATTCAACACATTAAACTGAATATGTGGGACCATGATGGAAATTAAATACGTTAATATTTGCAAAACCTACCGGTATTTCAAGGGTACTTCTAATCTAACATTATATTTTGGGGGTTTGGGTTTTCTTCAATAAATCTTTGACGGAATGCCTTTTCAGATCATTTTTCGTCCGTCATCACAATGTTACCAAGACAGAGTTGTCTGCTAGACTAGAGGCTAGAGCGCGCAATTGTTTTCAGTTTTATTGTTTATTGCTTATGCTTTGTGTAACGGATGTGGATGTGGAATATAGAATTAACTAAAGTGAGAAAAAAAACTTACACTGAAAACTGGAATATATAGATATTCAATTGTTTGTACAAATACACAAAATTAAAAAAAGAAAGGGTTTTTAGGCCTACATTTTACTGACCCGGAAACGATAGTAGATCTAGTACGATACGACCGTTAATTTGATGGCGCGAAATTTGTCATCGAAGGTAGAATCGAACTCAATCAAAGGGGAGGTGGGCTTAATATAAGTAAGGGTAAAGTCTACATACCTCCGGAAAATGATTTTGCAACTTCTGTCAATCCTGCTATCTTCAAGGCTGTTTTCAGTTTGGGTATTTGATTCTTGATTTCTGTGTCTGTTCGCCATTTACTCAACATCTTTATTGTTCCCGCAAACGGGTTTTCCTTGTTCAGCTTCTCAAACTCAATTATCTCCATCAGAGTAAATCCCAATTTAACTCCAAACTTCTTTAATCCCACATGATTACCAATCTCGTTAGTCATGTCTAAAAGCATCATTTCAGTTAGTCCTTTCTCCATTTTCTTTGTTGTTATAGTGTTGCATATACCGCACAATACAAGGACGCGTAACTCTATCTAACGTACATATTATATTATATTATTCGTTACACGTTCAAAGATTTACTAAACGGGGAATTCCACTATTAACGGTATCCTCAACAACGCAAAAAATAAAAGGGAACAAATCCTGAAATATGAAGAATTGCTGTTATATGTGATAACTGTCAACACATGAGTCAGTCGTGCAGTTTACATCAACATATATCATATACATATAATTATTGTCTAAAAGTAGTGATACGACAAAAATATATTATGTATGTCAAACCAAGAATATTTGTAATATATGTACTTTCTTTCAGATATTCTTTTAATTCCGCATGTAGATTGAGAGTTACCCTCATAAATAATCTAGTAGTAAACTGACGAGACTTACTGTAACACACCTCGGCATTTTTATTTATTCGATAATTATATAAAATTAAATCTACAAATTTCTACTTCCAATTTTCTTTTATTATTCGAGAAATGAAATCCTTATACATGTAGTTTATAGCAATCAGAATTAAGGTATCTTCAATGTTAGAATTAAAGATAATCTGAAAGTTTGAGTGAAAACGGACCATCATTAATGATATCAATTGGGAAAAACTGATCTGATCGATTCCTTAATTTTCCCAACTATATTATTACAATTTAATTACATTTTAGGTGAATTTTAATCGTCACAAAGCAATGACATTTAAGACATTCCAGACATTTAAGTGTTGAAATATTTTAAAAAGCCTTTCTCATGTCCTTTTTTCATGGAAAAACGATTGGGAAAATTCCAAAAAAAATATCTTAATCACTGCAGGGTGTTGCACAGTGACACATTTAAAGAAAATCATAAATATCTTTGTGGTTTGAGAATTTATTCAGAATTTGTTGCATGTTAGAGGGTAAGTACAGTAAAAGGAATATAATAAGTAACATTTCGTACAAAAATTATGCAAATTTTGTATCAACTTTCAACAATGTTACTGAGTCACATGAGAAGCATTAATATTAGGGGTAGATACGAATTTGCTACTAGTTTAATAGTTTAGATTAATGTTATTTAATCATGTAAATAGCGATGAGCTTGCGGTCGTTTCACTAAAATTCTCAAAATTCTGACGTAGACGTAAGAGTTAACGATATTATGTCCCTTTTGCAGCCAACATAAAATTCTGTAGAACTTTTATTTGTAGGACTAATGCATATGTCATGAATGTCCTGTGAAATTTAAACGTTAGCAGTGTCCTAATATTCAAATTATGCAAGAAAACCCGTTTACTTGATAAACTTCACTGTCAGACACTATTGAGTGACTGACTGGCTTTTTTTTCTTTGGTAATAACATACATAAAATGAGCTGTAACAGGTACATGACCATTTAACTCACTTTTTGTATCATGGCCAAAAATAAAATGACTGGATCTTTGTGCAGCACAAAACGTACGACAATTCGGTAAAAGGGTCTGAAAATTAGATTATTACTTAGGGGATCGGCGTAAATATTCATAAATGAATGATACACGCCTTTAAAACTTAAACAAAAACAACAACAAAAGCAATTACTTAAGTCGATTCGACAAGAAATTGTCGTTATTTTCCCACTAAAAGCCATTTGTTCTGCGGCCCTTTCGTTTTGAGGGAAGTTCTAAATTAATATTGTCTGTCAGATGCTGTTAGAATTTAACCTTTTTATTTTTTGGCCTGCAATTGGGACATAGTACCTTTAAAGAGTAAAATAGATTACAAGAGAAATGATAATATCGGTAATCAAATTGATATGATACAGTGTTACAAAATACATAAGTAATTGCAAATAAGGAAGCCATTAAACAAAATAACATTCACCCATCATATCCACGCATATCAGGGCCTAGATACAAAAAAAAATCATGCTGAATTTAAAGGCCCGGTTGCGCTGCTCGAATAATATTATGTCTGATGTCATTTCCTTCATAAATTTTTTTTCACATTTTCTCAAAATATATCGAACAATATAATAATAACGATAATAATGATGATGATGATTATGATAATAATATCAATGATAATGATTTTAATAATTATAATATTGAGCAAAATGATAATAATACCAATAATAATAATAATGACAATGATAATACTACCACTACTACTAATCAAAATGATAACAATAATAATAAATATAATGATGACAGTTATAATAATTATACAAAACATAACACTAATAATTATAAAGATAATAATATTAGTTATAATGATTATGATAATAACAATGATAAGATGAATAGAAATGATAATAATAATAGTTATCATAAAAAAAGTAATTATAGTTACAATAAAAATAAAATGTATGATAATAATCAATTGTAATACTAATAATAACAATAATAATAGAAACAGTAATAATCATTATAAATGCACTAGTCCATACTATTCCCGAGCAAAATCGCAGATAGGTTATTTAGGAAACATGCAATCACCAATTTTTAAAAATGCCACTGTTAAATTGAGCTGAATTTGACGACATCAACTCTGCGACCAATAAAGGTCAACGAACTATTAAGACAGTTCCCTGCGTGTAACAGTATTTAATGGTGTCTTCGAAGACGCCAAACAGAACTGAAACAACATGTATGAGAAAAAGATTGGGGATAATGTGGATGTGGTTTCATTTCTTCCTCATGAATACTGTGGTCTACTTATTGGCCTACTTATAACCATAATTATATTACTCAATTAGACAAAGACTGGGTTAATGCCGGACAATATATCTTGCTTAAGAGTCTATCTATCTATTTAGTGTAATCTTTTCAATGTCAATAATTTGGTAAGAGAAATTCGTATATTTTAGGCATTTTCAATCACAATGCGGATATTTTGGTTTTATATCTTAAGATTTGTTCATAAAATAAAAGGCAGGTATTTTTTTTATTTTAGCCTCCTGTATAAAAGTTACCTGCAACAAATTCAATAAATCATGCACGTGATGAGAACAGGGGGTTGCGTTCAATCCATCCTGAGACACACATCTTCGATTATTACATGAAATAAAAAGCCTCTCCTTTCAACTGATGTACGTCATGTCTTGAAACAATCTTTCATTGAATTTTTATTTGGAAAGAAACTATCGTTAATTTATATGGTCGGAACGCATGGTCGGAGTAATATGTCTTAGAACAATCTTTCATTGAATTTCGATATATTTGGACAGAAGTCATTGCAGAATGCTGAAGTGTCTGTTTCATGGTGTGGACTCACAGTGGCGTATAGCATGGATCGAGAAATTGTGAGGGCATTGGTGCCATGGCAGATACTGCGCATATAGATGGATTCGAGTGAGGGGCAGGTGTGGAAGGAAGGAGACCGTATTTGTTTTGGTCCTCCCTCCCTCCCTCCTCCTCCTCCTTCCCCTGCTAACCACCTACATTTCTCTCTCTCTCTCTCTCTCTCTTTCTCTCTTTATATCTTATTATTTTCTTTTTCCTTGTTCTTAATCTTCTTCTTTTGTCTTGTTCATATTTGATATGCGATTGGGGGCACTTGGCCGCGGAACTCATAAGCTACGCCAATAACTTGCATTCATTTGTTCGTTGGTCGCTGTCAAAGATTTTCTTCTTTTTAAAGATTTTCTGTGTTGTTTTTCATATCACTGTTGAACATTATTTTTGTACTATTCTACTGTATTTCTTCCATGCCCCATAAGGGGCCGTTAAAGAAATTAAATTCATTGACATTGTTATTGTCATTGTCATGCTTGTCTAGTCATCTTCCCCCACGGGTTGTTGACCTTACACTTACTCTTAAATTAAGATCATGGATATGATGTGTTAAAAGCACTCTAATCAGTGACAGGTATGCCAACAACTGTATGATTTTGTTGAAAGTCTCACCTCCCTGATTAGATCGAGATGGTATCAACAAATTATTGGAGAAAGACTCATTTATCAAATCGTGAAAGATATTGGAAGCAGGTGATTTGGTTTTATATTTTATATAAAGAAAACCCTCCCCCTTTCCTCCTTCAGTCTTTCTTTCTCTCTCTCCCTCTCTCTCTCTCTCTCTCCCTCTCTCTCTCTTTCACTCCCTCCCTCCCTCCCTCCCTCTGGCCAACTTGAATACAATTGGTCACAACGTGCATATTCATTTGTTGCATGCTTTCCCAACAACACAATTTTCGCCATATTGTGCCCAATTCGAACCGGGTCGGCCAAACTCTGTATAAAAATGGCTCTTGCCACCAATATCATATATAGTATCTTATTACTGTTGTTGCCACTGTTCAGGGTGTTGTTTCAAATAAATCCTACTAATGTGTTGATTTTCTTCTAGATTTCTTTCAATGACTGATGTCAAATATCTTTCTTTATCTCTCTTTCTCTCTCTCTCTCTCTCTCTCTCTCGTTCTCCCTCTCTCTCTCCATGCATCTCTCTTTCTTTCTCTCTCTCTCTGTGTCTCCCTTTCTCTCCCTCCATCCCTCTTTCTGACTACATGTCTATCCGTCCGTCTCTTTCTCTGTCCCATCCTCTTTCTTCTATCTCCCCCTCTCATTTTTAAGTCATGTTAAATTACGGGATTTTCTTTAGTTCAAAACAGATTGAAAAGCCTCATTTTAATGCAACACAGAATATCTTTTTTTTATCCTGGTTCCCATTTTTTTATTTACAAAACGACAAGTTTTTAATAGAAACTTATACTTTGAAAATATTAATGAGATACCGTTTGCATATATACATACACAAGTATGAACAACTTGAAATGGTGATGAAAAGCACTGTAACATCAGTATCGGTGATGATGATAAAAAAAAGTAAAATAAATACACACAGATTTCTATTTAAATAGGCCTATGTATGATGTAAAAAAGGAATTCTGAAAGTAGTAAATCTGATTAAAACTACTTAGTGTATGATGTTAAAATCACTCAGCCCAGACCAAATTACATTTACACTATTTAAGGCATCAAGAAGGCCTCGTAATTGATCAGTTCCAATAACGTATTCTCCCGAAAGAAGTGATTCAAAAAACATTTAATTTTTTGACGTATAAATAATGTTTCCTCCCAAAATAAGTGCTGAAAATACACATTTTCTTTGTCGAACAATACTTATGCTAATAGTTACTTAATATAGATAGATAGATAGATTTTGTAAGTAACATTCGAATGAATTTCTATATTATTACTATCCATGTCCATTCTCTAAGTATAATTGTAATTATGTAATTAGTCAATATCATTGACGCCTTCCTTCAATATGTTGGTATACCTTTTCAAGATAACATCACAGCAATACATAAGAATTCAAAGCAAATGCAAATGGAATTTTTATTTTCAATGTTTAGGATGTCGTTCTAGTTAATATAGGATTTCCCGTCCAAATTCGCGTGTTTGTCATTCGAATTCATTTACTTTGCATTTCAGTTAGCGCAGATCGGCTTTGCTATGCCAATTATCATTCAATTTTCCAGTTTTTGTATTTAATTTAGGATTTTGGTCGAAGGGTTTCATGAATCTTTCATTCAATTTAAAAACTGCTCAACTAGCATTCAAATTAATATGCACTTGTCGAAGCGTAATTTTTATCATTCAAATTAACACCTGTCATTCGTATTCGTAATATTTTGTATTTAAGTTAGGAATGTTAGGGGGAAGACTTGCAACAAACTTTTACAGTTTTAAATAATGCAGTTAAAATGCATGATTTGCCATTGGGGTCTAAGCTGTTATTCCATTTATTTATTTTCAGGACAATGCAGATGGGTATAGTCAGACATCAAGTAAAGAAGGGGCGAAATCAAGGGATATGGCATTTCTGCACGGACATGTTCATATACCCGGGAAAGGTGGGGGTACCCTCAATCGCCCCTTTTTACTACAGACTCGGAATTGTACAAAGGTAATTCACATCGTCTCCTATACCCAGCACACCCCTCTGTTTTTCTTAAAGAGTTTCATAGTATACTTGCCCGCCAGCAGATCGATGACTAAAGACATGGCTAAATAATGAATCATGTTCAAATTGTTGACTCTAGTCCCTACCCCAGTCACAATATTGTACCCTTCTTCCATAATGAAATTATGATGAAATTATGATAAATTTATGATGAAACATAAGACAAACAACTTCCTTACATGAACATTTACAAATATACTGATACCATCAGGTCCGTAGATGCAAGTCGTTTTTTTCTTCTTAACAATCAAACTTAAATGCTGATGAATATATCAGATAAATCTAATAAGTATAAGTGTATAAATGCAAGAAAATGAAATATGATGAAATACACATGAAAAAACAATCTTGAAAGAAAAAGAATGAGCTATAAAACGTGTGTAATAAACGAGAAATGTATATTGACCATCAATTTAAGTGCACAAAGTGCTAATTTGAATGCTACAAATGAATTAGAATGCTAGAAGTACACCGTCGCGTTGTCCGAAAATCGTGTTGCGCCAAATCGAATGACCAAATAGCGAAAGAAGCACATTGTTCATTAATTTGAATGAAACATACGTAGATTCTAACGAAAATTCCATAGATTTGAACACTAGAAAAGGGAATATCAACCCGAGATATACCTGACTGCACTAAAACCGTCGAATTTGAACGCAAGACAAATTAATTTGAATGACAAACTCGCGAATTTGGCCGAGAAATCCTACATATACAAGAACATTTCTCAAAATTACTGGAGCATATTTCGTTTTATTTATTTTTCTGTTTACCTTTGAAATTAATTAAGTCACTTTCGTGAACGAAATTCAAAATAAGGTCGAACAATGGCAGTATAGAGATATTTCAGATTTGTTAAAATGTACTTCGAAAGAGAGTTCGTTTTAATACAAAAAAAGGTTAAATCACACAATGATTTATCTTTGAGTGGTCCTAAAATCTTGAAAATTACAGTTTTGAAATTCGTTATGTGAAAACTATACAAAAATGCCAGTTGCTACTTTATTTCAAAATGGTGGAATAGTTATTAATAAATTGCAAGTATTAATACAACAAATATTTTAAGATAACATACAAAATTGCTTTTTAAGAACTGCATGTTCTAAAAATTGATCATGAAACATTCATGTACCGAAGCTTAATCCACTATTTCTAGTTAGAGCTGGATAAATATTTTCATTACACTGCAAATCTGCAGATTTAACTTTACTCCATAAAGTCGCTATCACAACAAACATCACACCAATTAAAAGGGAATTCAAAGCCTACCAAATAGATGCCCATCTTCATGACTTAGCATGTCGTTCTAGAAATTATTAAAAGCTTTCTTAAAACCACTGGAACATATTTCGTCTTTGTTTATGTTTGCCTCTGAATTATTAAGTCTCTTTCACGAACAAAATTCAAAATGCTGTTAAAAAAATGGGAGTAAGGGATTACTTATAGTTTGTTGGAAGGTACTTCACAAGAAAATGTCTTTAAAATAAGTTATATCACACAATGATTTATCTTTCAGTGGTCCTAAAATTACGGAATTGAAGTCCCATAAGTGAAAAGCACCCATACCAGCTGTTACTTTATTTAAAGATGTTGGGAAAGACAGTAGAGTTTTTTTTTCTTTCTTTTCTTTCAACCAGCAAAAATATGTTTTGTTATGTTTATACATGGTAACTCAGGTTTTAGAATAAGTTCTAATAAGGTTTTAGTTGCATTTTGTGTATTGCTATCACGTGCCCATCAACACTGGAGGTTGGAAAAGTTGTTTGATTTTCATATAGCGATACCTTCAGAATTTCATATTATTCAAGGGATATTGAACAACAAAATTAAAAAAATACCTTTAAGAGCTAATAATTAGTAACAAATGTACATAATTATATTTCATTAAAAAATATACATGCATGCTGTTTATACCAGAGGCTCAATACAACTTTTTTGTGTTCACTATATTGAGCATTTTTGCGAACAATAGCCACATTCATGTAACAACAAACAATAAATATTGTTGACAGCTGTCATAGAAGCAGTCCATGGAATTAGAGTCTAAAAAGGCCAATCCAACTGGTTCGCTGCAGCTCATTTTATGTTTCCCTAATCTATTCAAAAAAAAAAAAAAAAAAAAAATTCTTACACATGTGACATAATCGTGCGCTATTTTATTGTCATTAATGTTTAGGAATTTCTCGTAATATACATCATGGCCACATAATGAAGACAGGACAAGTCTATATTTTTAATACATTTTCATCATTTGAGATTTCGTAAAAAAGACATTTTCTCATTCTTATTCTATCTTGAAGTTAGTCAAGATTCTGGCCTATTTAATTTTGATCTCCATCACACCAACGCTACCTCTCCCTACTTACTTGCTACCAGCCGATGATGGCGTGATCATTAAATTAAGACGCCCGGCGAAAAAAATGCTAGCTAGTTTATGTTTTACAAAATAACATCAGCGTTTATTCATACAGACATAACAATTGCAAAAATATATATATGATACATAACAATGATATTGGCTGCAATAAATCCAAATATTTTTTATTTTGTATAGTTTAAAGAAGAAATAATGAAAATTCCATAAACAATAAATACTTGCAAAAAGACTACCTTCTCACGACCGATCAAAATGCAAAACAAACGCGTTTCTCTTCAGTCTCAAGAGATTGACACTTCACCAACCAATCAGCGCGGCGTAAGCATGATGGTGGGCGGTCCATAGTTGTATTGCTCTCCGTTGAAATTTCAACGGAGGGCCATTAAACCGAGAACCGAGGTTTTTGTCTGTACGGTCTTCAGGCTGGTCTGGTGAGCATAATTATGAGTTTGTTGATAACGCCATCTTCGACGTCTTGAATCAAGTGTAGGGAAATTATAAAGGACCGTGCAGATTCTGGACTATCTTGAAGTGTGAGACCCGTTTTGACCGGAAGTACCTGTGCTTCAAAATCGCGGCAAATTTGCTTGTAGAATCGAGCCCCACTTACGTTTGATTGCATTTCAGCTATATGCGGTAGGGAGAATTCGTCAGCAGTGATGAATGCCAGTCAAGTTGATTGTTATGTGTATTTCCTGCCCAGTAATGTTGTTGTCGTTAACATTCGCAGATTCTGATCCATGTAAATTCACGCTGAAATCTCTCCGATTAGATGTAAGTCTACTCTCTATTATGGAAAAACAAAGGAATGCGACTGTACTGTTTAGAGTTTGTTAATACACAAATGAGCCATGAGACTTGCAAGTTGGATATCTTTATATTAATGTTAACAAAAAAAGTTGAGGAGCTAGAACAGCTTTCCAAAGAAGATGGTTCAATTTCAGGGCTTCAACCTCTGGCCATATGAATGAATGAATGAATATTTAATATATTTGTCATTCTTTTATTCTTCCTCTCATTGGATGGAACACCCTAACAGCAAAAGCTAGTTTCCATTGGGGTTCACCAAAGTTTATGTAAATGTATTTTCAAAAAGATGACGGAGAAACCAGATAAATAAAATGAACATAAAACAATAATATAATATGAAGATACGATAGTAGCTGAAATTAGAAATGCTATAATGATATCCTCGAATCCGAACGCGTCGATGGTACGCCAAGCCTTTTTTTTTCTTCAGGCGTAGAAATTCGGGAAATAACGCCATCCTCGGCTTGCAGCAAGTAGGGGGAGATCGCGTTCCGTTGGTGGAGATTGTAATTTTTTTTTAAAGGCTTGATTTTGGACTATAGGCGAAATGTCCAAGATACAGAACATGTTGGAAGGAAGCAAAGTTTCATGACTGTACTTACTACGTTTTTTATGATTTGGTGCGTCCTTTTCTTTTGTTGCTTTCCTCTTTTTAGCTGGTTTCTTGTCTGCAATAGCAGGGAATGTTCCGGCTTTGTTCTCTTCCTTATCACTGGAGACCTTGCTTCTTGACTGTGCAGTCCCCGAGGGTGCTATTGATCCTTTTTGAAGTGCTGAATAACAGAAATTTCCAAATGATAATGAAGACAATGGTGATTGAAGTAATAGTAATAATAACAATAGTAGTAATCATAATGATAATGAAAATAATTACGATGATATAAATAATAATAAGGTTAATACTATCATTAATACTATATCAACGATAATGGTAATATAAAACACAAAAATATTCTAATGATAACATTAAAGGGTTATGATATTATACAACCACAATAATGCTGACTGTAATGCAGAATATTTAAAGTCTATAATGATGAAACAAAATATAATATTGATAATAAAAATAATAATGATAATATATTGACAGTAATGACCAAAATCACACCCATTATAATGAAAACAATAGTGATTACCGATATCAACAACAACAATAATAATAACAACAATAATCTGGGTGAAGTAAATGGGTACCTGGTAGGAATTGAAACGCAGCGCGCGTAACAGCTGCACTGCTAAAGCCAGGGCAATTATGCTGCATTATTGTAGAGCGCTTAGAGACTTCTGATAAAGTAAGTGTTAGGCGCTATTATAAGCAAGGATAATTATTATTATTATTAAATAATAATGATAAGAACTAAAATTATAATGATACTTATCTTAATAGTAACTATAACAAAAACCTGTTCAAATAATTATCATCATCATCATCATCCATACAAAAAACATAACAATTAAACATTTTTTATAGAGTTTATGTATAGCTTATGTTCTATTTTATCCAATCCGTCATTGGACATACACTAGGCAGTTTTCGCAACCGGCGACGCGGACTTCTACAACGCTAATCTTAGCGGGGGGGTCGCACTGAGAGCGAAAATTTCCGCGTAGCGTCCAAACCTACGACGGCATTCAGCTGTATTAAAGGGATAGTTGAGTTCTTTTTTTCAGACCGCAAATGCCTTCAAAGTGCATGGTTATTGCTCTTATTCTTATCTATGACATTTATAGTGCCCTTTTAGAACCTAAAGTTGCTATGAAGGTAATTTTAGACCCCAAAACGTGTGAAATTTAGCCAATACGATCATACCAATTCAGCTCCACTTCCCAAAAACACGGTGACCGTTAATTAATTATTTGATTAAAAATAATAATACATGTGCCGGCTAATTGTGGGTAATATAAGCAACACAAAAATGCCAACAAAAAAACCAACATCGGCATTGACTGAAATACGACGTAAAGGCGTTATTTCGGGTTTTTCAACGGTTTTTTCAATTTTTTTCAAAATATCTAATATTTGTGGTGGTACACAAGTATTAGAAATCGTTATATTTTAGCCGTCTCTGAACCGATTTTGATCAAACAAAGATGATTTTGTCATTTGAATATTATGTTCTTTCAAATTTGACACTCAGTTTTTCATTAACTCACAACAAAATTATTTTGTGTAGCGCCCTCTGCAACAGAACTCAACTATCCCTTTAACGTCAAGAGTCGAGCTAGTACGGGGTGGCGAGCTCATTTAAATACCCCGTAGTCAGCACTTGCGTCGCCGTGCAAAAAGTCCCTAATACCATGCCACAGAATGAACGATGGCATAATAATGCCAGGAATATTTATCGGGTCCATAGGTCAACATTCAATCAGGCATTATTGCTAACATACAGCAAGTTCACGGAGTAGATCTCCCCATATAATTATATGCAGTGCAAGGGAAAAGGGACATTTCTTGACTATATTGTGGCCCTACGTTTAACCCACCTGGTTTAGGAATATCCTGGGGCACCTTCTTTCCTGATGCCGGTTTCGTCTCCCTGGTCTTGATGCCTTCCTGTGGCGGCTTCTTCGCTGGTGTACTTTTAGTCTTAGGTTTCTTGTCTGCAATAGCAGGGGATGTTCTGGCTTTGTTCTCTTCCTTATCACTGGAGACCTTGCTTCTTGACTGTACCGTCCCCGTTTGTGTTATTGATCCTTTTTTAAGTGCTGAATATGACAAGAATTTTCAAATGATAATGATGACAATGGTGATTGAAGTGATAGTAATGAAAATAGTAGTAGTAATAATACCCAAAAAATTGTTGTCTAGTTTATGTATGGGGTATGTTCTATCTTAACCATCCTGCCCTCGGCCATAGAATATCATGTCATAGAACAATGCTGCGATGAATATTAAGCTAGGTCATTGGCCAGGCATTATTGCTAGCGTAGGGCAAGTTCGCCGAGTAGATCTCTCTATATATATGTAGTGTAAGGGAAACGGGATATTAAGCAAATAACTACCGTTGGTGAAGGTGATGGGACAAACCATCACTTCCGAGGTGATCAGGATGTAGCTATCTTTCCGAAGCGAAGCTGAGGAAAGATAGCGTATACATTCTGATCGACGAGGAAGTGATAGTTTGCCATCGCCTGAAACCAAAAGGTGATTATTTGCTTTATATTCCACATCTAAAACAAATTAACTACAAAAAGAAAAGGACGTGTATGCCTCTACATAAAAGACACCAGGCCCAAATTCACACCAAAAAAGTTAAAAGTTTAACCCAACCCCTTGAGGGTACGGTGCGCGCATGTGTTTGCTTTAATTGCGCTCATTGGTAATGCGCGCTTAATTACGCCTGTTTTAGTGCGCTTTTGGATAATCTTCAGTGAAAGTGCGTTGCCCTGTGTAGATAGTACCTCTATCTTCAGTGAAAGTGCGTTGCACTGTGTAGATAGTAGTACTATCTACACAGTGCAACGAACTTTTTGCTTCTCCCATCAATAATGGGCGAACTATCTTTCATCACGTGATTTACTTTTGACCAATCGTAGAGCAAGATTCTTAGTATGTGGAATGTAATTCTGAATATCTCATGGCTCTATCTTTAACCCACCTGGTTTGGGATCATCCTGGACCAACTGCTTTACGTGATGCCGATTTGGTCCCTATGGTCTTGGTACCTTCCTGTGGCGGCATCTTCTTCTTTTTTTTCTTTGGTGTACTTTCAGTCTTAGGTTTATTGTTTGCAAGTTCAGTTGATGTCCCGGCTACAGATCCTTTTTGGATTGCTGAGTGACACAATTTTTAAATGATAATGACTATGAGGATGATAATAATAGTAATAGCAATAGTAATTATAGTTCTATACAACGATATACAAGAACCCACTTATTTTTCTCATGTCGGTACGCCACAACGGTCACTATTGATTAGATAGTCCAAGTCCAGTGTTGCGTACGCCCTGGGGGTATGGCTTCTTATACAGTGTGATCATACAAAATATCACAGGAATGGCTCAATGTCTATGATTCCTGAATAATTTTGGAATCAAGATTTAACCAAAAGCAATGTTTTTTCATTGTTACATATAAATTGCAGAAGCTTGCCAAAACATTATGATATTGAAAATTTATTGCATTTTCTTTGTGTTTTTTTATTTGAGGGAACTGCCCCCTACCCTAGCCCCCGCTGCGTATAGTCATGGTTCAGTGGCAAAGCAATGGTCTCGTAACTGTGAGGCCCCAGGATCAAAACCGTGTCGATGTGCTATATGAGTGCCCTTTTGGGGGGCATTAATACTCATTTCTGTCATTTATGACTTAAGGGCGTAGGTCCCCTAGTTAATAAGCATAGTAGCATAAACATGCTTTAGCAGTCACGCAAAACAAACACTGGCACATTATTATTCAAGAATATCTGAGAATGTATTATCTAGATCTATTAGATATAAATCATTGTCAAAATAATTCCATAAATTGAGGTTTAAAAAAAATCCAAGTGTGCGCCTGTAAAATAGCGACTGGCTGGAATGCTCCATAGGGAGTGGAAAATATGCACATATTGTGTGCGGGTAAGCCTAAATCCGATGACCGGGGTAATTATATATCTGTAAAGCGCTTAGGCACATCGTTGGATCGGTGTATTGAACGCTATATAAATAATGGATTATTATTATATGAGCGACAGTGTATTTTCCTCCTACTAAAAAGAGCAGTTCGTATAATTTGCCACAAGCCATTTTTAAGTCCAAGCAGACCTTTATTCTTGAAACTGAATATTCTCCCAATATCATTATATATTACATGATTTTCAACTCTGTATTTAACCTATTACCAGAAATTTTGTGTAATATATTTCAGAGCAATAACGATATTCATAGATATAACTTCAGCAGACACTCGTGTAATATATGGTCATTCTTCATTTTCAAATAGTATCTTTTTATGCCAAAGACCCACTATTTAAAATTTGAATTTAACAAACGCAATTTTGTATGTGTGTAATTACTACTGTATTATTGTATTTGTTTTGGTCTCTTTTTTGTTTTTTTGTGTGTACATTTTTGGGATCATTTACCTATAAGTTTGTGTAACTTTTTTGATGATCCAACCACTTCGTAATTTCCTTCAGTGTATTTTCCATTTTATTGGTTTATCTATGTTTGCAAGAAATTCGTTCCTGTTTTAACGAAGTGACGGTAGTGAGGAAAATCCGCACGCAAATTGAATGCAATTTTCATTCACTACCGTCACTTCGTGAAAATAGGGACGAATTATTGTATTCTTTGCCTTTGTATGTTTTTATGAAAGAGGTGAATAAATTCAATTCAATTCAATTCAATTTAGTATATATCCGATACCGCAGCTGCACTTGTGGTAGTCCAGATTATGTCATGTTTGTATATATTGTTTAATTCTTCATTCATCTACGTTTTCTTACCATACACGCATCCCACACAGATCGTGCGACCCCCGAAAATACATCCTTCGAAAAAACCGTTTGCGAGGGTGAGAATGAAGGTAAGGACTGTCTCCGTTTTAGCGTTGAGGGTGTGTTATATTCGCAGCTGATTTAGCCTTTTGACAAGGCCTCGTTGACTCTGGCTAAGCGGCTGAGATGAGTCTAGATACCCGGAGTGAACGCGCGACCGAATGACGAATTGGCGTTCATTCAGGTTTTCGCGATTAGTCTCTTTTTAGTCGCTCGGCGTCTATCAGGCATGTGGCCTTGTTAATTCGCATTGGCGTTCATTCAGGTTTTCGCGATTAGTCTCTTTTTAGTCGCTCGGCGTCTATCAGGCATGTGGCCTTGTTTAAAGGCTACAGCTGATTGGGCTCGCGACACAGAAACAGTCCAGGAAGTGGACTACACTTGTGGTAATGTACTGGGGTAGTAATGTGAACGGCTGTCTGTGGTATCTACTATGGTAACTTTTATTCGTATCACACAAAATACATCAGGAATATCACACGTATGCCTAATGCACATGATCTTTTCAAATGATATTTTGAGCAAACAAAAGATTTATGCTGTGTCCTGCTATTTTTTCTCCCATCTGTTCTGCTTATGATATGACGAATGAAATGTTAATGCTTTTAGACTATTTTCAAATTTTCTTTTTTAAATTATGTTTTCGATTATATGTTTTTTCTTCTTCTAATTCTTGTAGGACCATGTAAAGAGAGACAAAGAAGATACACTGGCAGGGGCAAGAGGCAATCCACAATTTTGTTTGACTAAAATTCATTTAAAATCAGAAAAAAATTGCTGAATATCGTTCTACAATTAAGGTAAAGCGGGGTAAAAATTCATCCTTTAAAAAATATAAATAATCACATCATATTCATTTCTATGGGGATAATTTAAAATATACCTTTGAAAAAAAGGAAAGATGCAAAACAACTTAAAGATAAACTCCAGTTCTGGTAAAAAAAAGAAAATTAATTCTCACAGAATCAAACGAAAGTTACACTGAATGTTCAAGATTACAAATAAATGACATGTGCCAAACAATTTTGGAAGAAAATGTATACTGGCTGAGTAATGAGCATAGAAAGACAAGGAAATCAAGGTAGTACTAGCCCCGACACCATGTGTGTTGTCCCATATATAGCTTTCTGTGTACAGTGCTTGTTACTTTACCAAGACTCGGTCAAATTTATTATGATTTTGATGACTCCAGAACCTTGCAATGCACACCAATACTTACATGCTACATGATCAACTGTTTCTGATCCTTTCCACACCTTTTCTTTCACAATGCAATCGCATTACCAGTACTAAAGTTTATCTTTAAGTATTGTCAGGACAGCTCAGTCCCTATAAATACACCCCTTTCTGAAAAAAAGTGGCTACATGATCACCGGCAAAATGCGAAACTTACCTTCAGATTGTGCTACTTGATCATCGAGGTACTGAACTACATTGAGATGGCCTTTGCGTGAGGCCAAGTGAAGTGGTGTGTGACCATTATTATTTTCGTTCTCAACCTGTGCTCCTTGACCAACGAGAAACTGAACTACATCAAGATGACCATTGAGTGATGCCACGTGAAGTGACGTCAAACCATCATTATTTTTTTTTTCAACCTGCGCTCCTTGACCAACGAGAAACTGAACTACATCATAGTGGCCATTGTGTGATGCAAAGTGAAGTGGTGTTAGACCATTCTTATCAACCGCCTCAACATGTGCTCCTTGACCAACGAGATACTGAACTACATCAAGACGGCCATTGCGTGATGCAAAGTGGAGAGGTGTGTGACCATTATTATTTTCGTTCTCAACCTGTGCTCCTTGACCAACGAGAAACTGAACTACATCAAGATGACCATTGAGTGATGCCACGTGAAGTGACGTCAAACCATCATTATTTTTTTTTTCAACCTGCGCTCCTTGACCAACGAGAAACTGAACTACATCATAGTGGCCATTGTGTGATGCAAAGTGAAGTGGTGTTAGACCATTCTTATCAATCGCCTCAACCAGTGCTTCTTTACCAACGAGATACTGAACTACATCAAGATGGCCATATCGTGATGCAAAGTGAAGTGATGTCCAAACATCATTATTTTCTTTTTCAACCTGCGCTCCTTGACCAACGAGAAACTGAACTACATCAAAGTGGCCATTGCGTGATGCAAAGTGGAGAGGTGTTTGACCTCTGTTATGTTCCTTCTCAACCAGTGCTCCTTGACCAACAAGATACTGAACTACATCAAGATAACCATTGAGTGACGCCGAGTGGAGAGGTGTTTGACCATTAATAATTTCCTTCTCAACCTGTGCTCCTTGACCAACGAGATACTGAACTACATCAAGATGACCATTGTGTGATGCCAAGTGAAGTGGTGTTAGACCATTATTATTTTCCTTCTCAACCTGTGCTCCTTCACCAACGATAAATTGAACTACATCAAGATGACCATTGAGTGATGCCACGTGAAGTGACGTCAAACCATCATTATTTTTTTTTTCAACCTGCGCTCCTTGACCAACGAGAAACTGAACTACATCATAGTGGCCATTGTGTGATGCAAAGTGAAGTGGTGTTAGACCATTCTTATCAATCGCCTCAACCAGTGCTTCTTTACCAACGAGATACTGAACTACATCAAGATGGCCATATCGTGATGCAAAGTGAAGTGATGTCCAAACATCATTATTTTCTTTTTCAACCTGCGCTCCTTGACCAACGAGAAACTGAACTACATCAAAGTGGCCATTGCGTGATGCAAAGTGAAGTGGTGTTAGACTATTCTTATCAATCGCCTCAACCAGTGCTCTTTGACCAACGAGATACTGAACTACATCAAGATGACCATTGAGTGATGCCACGTGAAGTGATGTTGGGCCATTATTATATTCGTTCTCAACCGGTGCTCCTTGACCAACAAGATACTGAACTACATCAAGATGGCCATTGCGTGAGGCAAAGTGGAGAGGTGTTTGACCATTATTATTTTCTTTCTCAACCTGTGCTCCTTGACCAACGAGAAACTTAACTACATCAAGATGACCATTGAGTGATGCCACGTGAAGTGATGTTTGACCTCTGTTATGTTCCTTCTCAACCGGTGCTCCTTGACCAACAAGATACTGAACTACATCAAGATGACCATTGAGTGACGCCGAGTGGAGAGGTGTTTGACCACCAATAATTTCCTTCTCAACCTGTGCTCCTTGACCAACGAGATACTGAACTACATCAAGATGACCATTGAGTGACGCCGAGTGGAGAGGTGTTTGACCATTAATAATTTCCTTCTCAACCTGTGCTCCTTGACCAACGAGAAACTGAACTACATCAAGATGACCATTGTGCGATGCCACGTGGAGTGAGGTCCAGCCATTATTAGCAATCCCCTTAACCAGAGCTCCTTGACCAACGAGGTTATGAACGACATCAAGATGACCATTGAGTGACGCCGAGTGGAGAGGTGTTCGGTCATTATTAGCAATCCCCTTAACCTCAGCTCCTCGACCGACGAGATAATGAACTACATCAAGATGACCATTGTATGATGCCCAGTAAAGTGGTTTCAAACCGTATTTATCACCACTCTCGATATGTGCTCCTTGAACAACTAGAAACTGAACGACATCAAGATGACCATTGAGTGACGCCGAGTGGAGAGGTGTTGGGCCATTATTATATTCGTTCTCAACCTGAGCTCCTCGACCGACGAGATACTGAACTACATTAAGATGGCCATTGCGTGATGCAAAGTGGAGAGGTGTTTGACCATTATTATTTTCCTTCTCAACCTGTGCTCCTTGACCAACGAGAAACTGAACTACATCAAGATGGCCATTGCGTGATGCAAATTGGAGAGGTGTTTGACCTCTGTTATGTTCCTTCTCAACCAGTGCTCCTTGACCAACAAGATACTGAACTACATCAAGATGACCATTGAGTGACGCCGAGTGGAGAGGTGTTTGACCCTTAATAATTTCCTTCTCAATCTGTGCTCCTTGACCAACGAGATACTGAACTACATCAAGATGACCATTGAGTGACGCCGAGTGGAGAGGTGTTTGACCATTTATAATTTCCTTCTCAACCTGTGCTCCTTGACCAACGAGAAACTGAACTACATCAAGATGACCATTGAGCGATGCCACGTGGAGTGAGGTCCAGCCATTATTAGCAATCCCCTCAACCAGAGCTCCTTGACCAACGAGGTACTGAACGACATCAAGATGACCATTGAGTGACGCCGAGTGGAGAGGTGTTCGGTCATTATTAGCAATCCCCTTAACCTCAGCTCCTCGACCGACGAGATAATGAACTACATCAAGATGACCATTGTATGATGCCCAGTAAAGTGGTTTCAAACCGTATTTATCACCACTCTCGATATGTGCTCCTTGAACAACTAGAAACTGAACGACATCAAGATGACCATTGAGTGACGCCGAGTGGAGAGGTGTTGGGCCATTATTATTTTCGTTCTCAACCTGAACTCCTCGACCGACGAGATACTGAACTACATTAAGATGACCATTGAGTGACGCCGAGTGGAGAGGTGTTTGACCATTATTATTTTCTTTCTCAACCTGTGCTCCTTGACCAACGAAATACTGAACTACATCAAGATGGCCATTGCGTGATGCAAAGTGGAGAGGTGTTTGACCATTATTATTTTCCTTCTCAACCTGTGCTCCTTGACCAACGAGAAACTGAACTACATCAAGATGGCCATTGCGTGATGCAAAGTGGAGAGGTGTTTGACCTCTGTTATGTTCCTTCTCAACCAGTGCTCCTTGACCAACAAGATACTGAACTACATCAAGATGACCATTGAGTGACGCCGAGTGGAGAGGTGTTGGGCCATTATTATTTTCGTTCTCAACCTGAGCTCCTCGACCGACGAGATACTGAACGACATCAAGATGACCATTGAGTGACGCCGAGTGGAGAGGTGTTGGGCCATTATTATTTTCGTTCTCAACCTGAGCTCCTCGACCGACGAGATACTGAACTACATTAAGATGACCATTGAGTGACGCCGAGTGGAGAGGTGTTTGACCATTATTATTTTCTTTCTCAACCTGTGCTCCTTGACCAACAAGATACTGAACTACATCAAGATGACCATTGCGTGATGCAAAGTAAAGTGATGTCCATCCATTATTATCAATCCCCTCAACCTGCGCTCCTCGACCAACGAGATCCTGAACTACATCAATATGACCATTGTGTGATGCCAAGTGAAGTGGTGTTTGACCTATAGTATCACCTTCCTCAACCTTTGCTCTTTGCCCAACGAGGTACTGAACGTCCAGTTGGCCATTGAAAGCTGTCACTTTAAGGGCTGTATTGACCTCATTAGCCTCATTTGCTGCTCTTTCAGCCATCATGGCAACGTCTGTTGAACCAATGTTAAGCAAATCTTCATTTATTTCGTGTTTGTCAAGGTCACATTTGCGTTATGTAAATCATTCTCGGAAGAGAATAAATACGTCAATGAAGTTACTTGCTCTACAGCCTGAGAGGTAGATATATATTCTCTGTTTCCGTGCAGGTTAAGACTTTTCTAAGCCTACTAATATTTATGCATTGGAAAATACGGAAAAGAAAATATTCTAATTAGATAAAATGATACTTGCGACCATACATCAAAAATTTCGTCTCAGACAGTCTTTGCCCTGTCAGTACCAGCGTAATATTTCCACATTGTTGGTCTGATTTCCTTTACACAAACTAGCATACTGCGGTCCACCTAAATCATCCACATCAACGGTCTCTTGCTTCAAAATGAAACTGCAATTGTCAAATCAGTTCACAGGCAATGTACGAAATTGTTCCACGATAAAACGCTAAGATTTCTTCTTAAAATGGCCTTCTGCTTTGTATCCAAAGAGTTTACAATATATTTGATACGATGGTATTTTACAAAAAGGTAAGAATTAGATAATTCATTTTGAATTGCTTACAGTTTTTCCAATCAAACTAACACATGAAACAGTCATCGAGAAAATGGCTGATCATTTGTGAGAAACGGGCGATGTTTTGTAGACAATACGCAGTCAGCCCGCAGTGCGTGCGAGTCTCGCACAGAGAACAGAGGATACGGTATTCATGCTCGAAGTGATTATGAATACGTAATGGCAAGTGCATTACCAATTTAAAAGTCATCGTGGTGTGGCAACCAAACAACGATTTGACCTTATTGTATACACATTGAAAGTAGGTAAATAGCTCTTTCATAAATTATCATGCCATTGTTCAGATGAGAGAATTGGTGCTTAAGCCCCTATCACACCAAACTAGTTCTCACTACGTTCTGGAACTGTCCTAGAAAATCGAAAAACGGGTTATGGTTAGGGTAGAATGCGTAAATAACGTCTATAATACGATCCTATATCGTTCATAAACAGTCCTCAATACGTCCATCTCGTCTGTACCCCGTCTGTAGTCAGTTTAAACCCGTTATGAACTAGTTCTACTTTGTTCCCAATACGTCCAAACCCATTCTTATTAGTTCAGAGACAGTTCAGCTCGTCCTCATCTCTTTCTTAGTGCGTTCGAACGCGCTCCTAGAGCGTGTACAATCACGTCCTGGCTCAAGGGTTATAAAACCCTAGCACGTTCTTGCCATTCATTATTCCCGTTCAATTTCAATGTTTCAAACTGTGCAGATCAAGACATTCAAGTGAAGCCACGATCACATCAAACTTAAACCAATCTGTTTAAGAACTTCATGGACGGGTTCGGACTGGCTTGGAAATGTTGAAGAACATGCCAATCACCAAAATAAGGTAACACCCTATCTAGGGATAGCCCATATTGCTTTTTGACGTTCATATGGAGCTTAATGGTGGCACCATTTCCAACAATGACAAGGTGATTGATTGCATTATTCAGTTGGAAGGAATCATACAATATACCTAATGTACGCTTCAGCGTGGCATAGCAGTCCGCTTTTTCATCTTATATATTAGTATAACCACTTTGACTCTATAACCATCGGCGATGTTTTGTTCCATTGCGAGTTTGACCTTGATGCCTGTCAAAATAATATTTGTGTTTTCATTGAGAAAAACCGCTTTTTCACATACATAACTGAACAAAGAGTTCTACAATGCATTCCCGCCCGTTTTCGGAAGAAAAAAAAATCTTCTTTAACTTGATCTCTTATAAATGTCTTTCATTTTGGTGGTTCAAAATATGATTTTGATGGAAAATAAATAAAGTTGCCAAGTATGTTTAGGCCTAAAGAGAAACAAAACAAGTATTTTTTAGATAATTATTTCTTAATTAGAAATACCTCACTATATATTAACATACCGTGGTCATATCTATCAATCTCTTCTTAATGTCATGAGTAATGAAACCATGGGAAACTATCTCCATAGGAAGAGAGATGGAGTGAGGGAGAGAGCGAGAGAGAGAGGTCCCGTTATAACTGGTATTGCGTCTCACATTAAACTAAACTGATTGCAAGAGGAGTTCCGATAGGCTGTACAAAATAACATAAACCTACACATAATCATTTTGAAATATTTGTTTTCTCAATTACAATAAGGCCTACCTCACTTTGCATTTACGTACCGTTATCATTTCTATCAATCTATTATTCTTGTTATCATGCGTAATCACATCACGTGAACCTACCACCATAGAGAGAGGGGGAGAGAGACGGAGAGAAAGAGAAACAGAGAGAGGGAGAGAGAGGGGGGGATAGGGAGAGAAAGAGAGAGAGAGGCCCCGCTATTATAACAAGTCATACAAAATATAGCTAAACCAATTACACAGGTCTCCGAGTAGTGTTGTGATTGCCATGTGTGCGTTCCGACCGGCTGTCAAAAATAACATCCTACCCAAACGGTACAGTTTTCATAATTTCATTTCTTTTGTATTGTCAAAGCTCTTCTATTGTCAATTTCAAGGCCTTGACATCAGCTGTCGTTGAATCAACAACCTCTGCTAGATTTTCAATTTCTCTCTTAAATTTCACTTTTAAATCATTTAATGTTATCTTTATTTCTTTTTTTGAAAACTTGAATAACGATTGCAGATGGTACATTAAAAAAAAACTATCACGTGTGGACAAGCCAGACGCTAATTGCTGTAGTCTAACAACATTATACTGTGGAAGATTCTTTGATGAATATTTTGTTTCACTTCTTCTAATAACTGATTCACATAAGCGGCTCTAGCATGCTACTTGCGTGTTATAGGATTGGATGATGTCTTTGAAGACGCCCAACAGAACTGAAACAACATGTACAGTGCGTCCCAGAAAAAAACGAAACCGAGAAGTATCGATGTTTTATCATAACTTAATCACAACCATAATTAATGAATGATACATATTTGGAAAGCTTAGAGTCTCCTCTTTCAGTTGATGCTACTCACGTGATGCATATTTTACGCATGAGTGATTAAAAGCAATTTGAAGGAAGGAAACCAAAAAGTAATTTGGCGGGCGGTATCTGAATATCAAAGAAAAATTCATATTTCTAGAAAGTTCATTTTCTGTTCTTTCATATGATACCTCAATCAAGAAAAATGAGCCAGGAATAACAAAGTTCTGTTTGTTTAAAGAAGCCCTTGCATTTTCATAATTTTAACAAACGAATTCGTTTTCACTGGGTGCCTGCCGTAGCAAAAAGCAGATTTGACAAAAGACTTAACTCCGTTTCGTTGACAATCAGCCATGCATGAAGACTCTCGTCTACGGCTGATTGTCAACGAAACGGAGTTAAGTCTTTTGTTAATTTCGTTTATTGATACGGCAGGCAGCCAGTGAAAACGAATTCGTTTAATAAAATTATGGAAATGCAAGCACTACTTTAAATAAACAGAACTTTGTCATTCCTCGCTCATTTTTCCTGATTGAGGTGTCATAATTTATGAAAGGGCAGAAACTCAACTTTCTAAAAATGTGAATTTTTCTTCGAAATTCAGATACCGCCCGCCAAATGTCTTTTTGGTTTCCTTCCTTCAAATGGCTTTTAATCACTCATGCGTGAAATATGCATTATCCGAGTAGCATCACATGAAAGAGGAGACTCTAAGCTTTCCAAATATGTATCATTCATTAATTATAGTTGTGATTAAGTTATGATAGAACATCGATACTTCTCGGTTTCTTCTTTCTCGTTTTTTCTGGGACGCACTGTATAACAAAAAGGGTGGGGATAATGTGGATGTTGTAATGTTTCATTTCTTCCTCATGAATACTGTGATCTACTCTTTGACCTACTTATAACCATAATTATATTACAAATTTAGACATAGACTGGGTTAATGCTGGACAATATATCTTGCTAACGAGTCATTACTATCTATTAGTGTAATCTTTTCGACATCAATAATTTTGTAAAGAGAAGAAAAAAATGGCTTTTTCAATCACAATTCAATATTTTGGTTTATTTTTTAAGATAAGAGGCAGGTATATTTCATTTTATAGCCTCATGTATAAAAGTCACCTGCAAGAAATTCAATAAATTATGCACGTGATGAGAGCAGGGGGTCGCGTTAAATCCATCCTCAGACACACGTCAACATTTCATTTTCTTAGATTATTACATGAAATAAAAGTTCTCCTTTCAACTGATGTATGTCATGTCTTGAAACGATCTTTCATTTAATTTTTATTTGGAAAGAAACTATCGTTACAGAATGATGAAGTGTCTGTTTAATAGTGTGGTCTCACAGTGGCGTAGCGTGGATCGAGAAATTGTGAGAGCTATGGTGTCGATCGTGGGGGACTCTGGGAATAATATTAATGAATGGATGAAAGCAACGTCTTCGAGTGAGGGGCAGGTGTGAAGGAAGGGGATCGTATTTTGTTTGGTATTGCCTCCCTCTCTCCCATCCTCCCTCCTCCCCCTGCTAACCACCTACATCTCTCTCTCTCTCTCTCTCTCTCTTTCTCTCTCTCTCTCTCTTTCTCTTTCCCCTCCTTCTCTCTCTCTCTCTCTCTCTCTTTATATTTTGTTTTCCTCTTTTTTCTTTTTCTTATTCTTCTTCTTTTCTGTTTTCTTCATATGTTACATGTTTGATTGGGGGCACATTGGGGGCACTTGGTCCATGACCCCTACTCTACGCCATTGTGGTTGTCTAATCATCTTTCTCCTGCTTGTTGTTGACCTTACACTTACTCGTAAATTATGAACATGGATATGATGTGTTAAATGCACTTAATTTATTGACAGGTATATCAACAACTGTATGACTTTGTTAATTAGATCGCGATGGTATAAACAAATGGGAAAAAGACTCATTGTTCAAATCGTGAAAGATATTGTAAGCAGGTTATTTTTTCTTATATTAAGGAAGACCCCCCCCCCCCCTTTTTCCCTTCCTTCTCTCTCTCTTTCTCTGTCTCTCTCTCTATTTTATTCTC